CAATTTCCTTCTTTTAAGATAGAAGTAGAAATTCTTGCCCTTTCACTTTTGCAGATTTGGAGAAACCAATACATGGACACAAACTATAGATTAAGAATGTGAGCATTTTATGAGGTGGAATTTAAGTGCTCAGAGGCAGTTTGCTTAGGTGGCTCTGCCTGCCCAGGACACTTGTGACCTTTTCCTGTTCTCCCTATGCTCTGGCCCTGAGACTGGAGAGCAGCCACTGTCCATGGGGTCTGCCAGCCATCTAAGAAGATTTCAGACATCCATCAGTTCCATTTCTTCCTCTTTTGGCTTCTTGCCATCGTCATCACATGCTTTTGTTTTCCTGCCTTGAGAGAAGGTAGAAGTTACAGGAGGTATCTTTTTTGTCCTAGTCCTCTAGGGGGCCTAGTCCTCTCCCCCAGTCTTGTCTGAATGAGTAGAGGACATGAGGCACCAAGAGAGGCAAGGTCTAGAAAGTCCAAGGGCTTCCTCCCACCCATGCCCCAAGCATCTGCTCTGGGCTGCAGTAAGCTGACATTACAGATTGCTGGAGCATCTACCCTCTATTTAAGTAAAGGTACAGCTTACAGATGGCTAGTTTTGATAGGAAAAAATGGACATTTCGTTTTTAGTCCTTTTTATCTTTTTGTCCCAAAGCCCAAGAATACTTAAGGAAAGAGTAGCTGCTGGAACATTGAAAGATGTTCCCCTCCCCTGGGGCGCCTTGGTGGCTTAGTCGGTTGAGCGTCCGACATCAGCTCAGGTCATGATCTCATGGTTCGTGGGTTCGAGCCCTGCATCAGGCTCTGTGCTGACATCCAGCTTAGAGCCTGGAGCCTGCTTCATATTCTGTGTCTGTCTCTCTCTGACCCTCCCCTGTTCATGCTGTCTCTCTCTCTCAGAAATAAATAAAAATAAAAACATTAAAAAAAAAAAAAAAGAAATATGTTCCTCTTTCCCAGACTGAGTGATAGCATTTGAAGTCAGAAGACAGTAATGTGAAGACCTTGGTCTGTCTTCCAGTAAGAGCCAACAATGGGAAGGTTTGTTTTGCAGGGTGTACAGAGGCAGGTGATCAGGCAAACCCACTGTTAGTGGGTGGTAAGTAGGGGTTGGGAAGGGCACTAACCTCAGGCCAAGTGTGCGAACTGTGCCTCAAAGGGATGCTGTGGCTTTGGCCTTACTTATGTTGCTGTTTGAGGTTTTCTTGAGCTGTTGCTGCTGCCTACATCCCTGCTTGTGATGTGGGATGTCAGCTGTCCTGATAAAACATACTCGTGTGCCACCTCTCTTTTGCCCCTATACACACCTCCCCCACCCCACCTTCAGCCTAAAGCCCAGAGAAAACTGTATGTTTTCTACTTGCTACTTCCTGAGTGAGGACCAAGACCAGGTGACATGGCTGCAGGCCAGGCTGCTTAGCAGGCCAGGGGATACCATTACTCATGCCTGTGTGTTGCAGAGTTTGCACTTGCTCTTAGGGTACCCCTAGAAAGCCTGGGAAACTGTGACATACCTTTCTCCCAGCTTCACTTCTGTTATGTCTCTCCCCAGGCACCTCCTCCCTGCAACATGTTCTCTCTCTCGGTGTTCCATGGAGAAATATATGGAGGCAATAAATAGGTCAGGTGTGCAGTCTATGTGGAATTATCGGGGGAGATGAAGATCCATTTGCGAATCAATGTCTCATGTCTAGTATTGGCATGAAATGCTTCTGAGGGCATTAGTGTATGCGCAGGAGATGGAGGCGGCTGGGAGCCTCGTGGGAGCTGCCATTTCTCTTGCCCCCCTTCCTCCCCCCTGCCAGTCCCCTTCCCACTTTGGGGGTGGGGAAGCTGCTGTTTGTATATCAGCTGCCCCAGACCTCTTTTTCTTCCATCTCTTCTGGATTTCCTGCTCATTTGTCTTCTTTGCCCTTGACTAATTCATTCTCATTTATCTCTTCCTCCTCATCTTTTCCCCCAGCATCAATTCCAGTGTTTATCTCTGGCTGTGAAAAGGGAGTGTTTAACTGTGTGTGTATGTATGTATCCATGTACACTTGAACACTATTCATGCAGGGAAAGGGAATCTGTGACTTTTGGGATAATCTTTGTTTTTCTCTTAATGGTATATTTCCTGATAATGCACCCTGTTTCCATTTTTTATTCTCCTTTTCCCCAAAGGCTGCAGATTAAGAAAGGTATAGGGCATTATAGGAAGCTCCAGGGCTGTGTTTTCTTGGGACCCATCTCTCTGGGCCTTTCCAGCCTTTTCATTCGTGATATGGAAGTCTCTGCTTGCTGTGTGTGCATCTTCACCCAGCCTGGATATCCCCCCGCTCCCCTGCTATGCACACCCAGGCGTGGTTAGGCACCTGTCCAGAACCTAACGCTGGGCTGTGAACTCACTCCCAGTCTTTTGGTCTGATTGGTGCCCCAGGGAAACAGGTTGCTGGGGAAAGCTCATGTGGCACTCAGCCTTTCCATTTTGTCAACGAAAAAAGAGGGGAGAAGCTGGCAGAAAGCAAAGGCTTTTGCTGCTGGGTGAGTGTAGCATCTATTTTTAGTGCCCAAGCCTTTGCTTTTCCATTTGGCTATGCTTTTTTAGCACAGTGTCGGTCCAGCAGGGCTGTTTTCCTTTATGGCTCCAGATGTCCCTAGGGAAAGTTTCCGTCTGCCTCTGACAAGGTGTGGGCTGGGCAAGGGGGTAATAGCTTCTGAGAGTGAATTCATGTAGGGCTTTGGGTTTCACTGCAATCATGTTACAGGACCAGTTTCTGGAGGTCGAATACATAGTGTGGCAGGAATAGGAAAGAGAAAAGGTAAGCACCATAATCTTCAGAGGTGTTCCCCTATAATTAATACAGTTAAGCTTCTTTTGAATAAATGGCCTAGTGAGGTATAGTAGGGCTGAGGGATAAACATGCAAACCTTTTATAAGGGCTTGAACTAATGCTGGCATGTTCTGACTTTTTATAAGGCTTCTTAACATTTTTAGCTTGTTTCTCAGCCTTTCTCTTCCTAGGTCATTTGCCAATCTCTCTCTCTCTCTCTCTCTCTCTCTCTCATATTTTTTTAAAGTACACGTGTTTCTCTTTATTTTTTTATTTTAAGATTTCATTTAAATTCCCTTTAGTTAACATACACTGTTATAGGAGTTTCAGGTGTACTATATAGTGGTTCAACAATTTGGATTAAGTTCTCTTGACTGCCACTCTAGTTTACTGACCAAAATTGTTGTACCAAGAAACTCTGTACCCATTAAGCAGTAACTCCCATGGTAACCTCTAATCTACTTTCTGTGTCTCTGAATTTGCCTATTCAAGAAAATTCATTTAAATAGAACCAAACAGTATCTGTTCTTTTGTGTCTTGTTTATTTCACTTGGTATAATGTTTTCAAGGCTCATTCATGTTGAAGAATGTATCAGAATTGGATTCTTTTTATGGCTGAATAATATTCCATTGTATATATATACAACACAATACAATATATATATACAAAAGTATCCATTCATCTGTTGGTGGATACTGGAGTTGTTTCCACCTTTTGGCTATTGTGAAAATGTTGCTATGAACATTTACATAGAAGTATCTTTTTGAATCACTATTTTCAGATATTTTGCATGGAATAAATACCTAGGGGTGGAATTTCTGGATCGTAAGGTAATTCTGTGTTTTACTTTTAGAGCAACTGCTAAATTCTGTCCCACAGCAGCTGTACCATTTTACATTACGACCAGAAATGTATGAGGTGTTCCAGTTTGTCTACATCCTTGCTAATATTTGTTATTTTCTTTTTAAAAAAATTAAAGCCATCATCGTTGTTTATGTATTCTGGTTATTAAGCCCTATCCAAGAGAGAAGTGATTTGCAAATATTTTCTCTCCTTTGTTGGCTGTCTTTTCAATCTCTTCATAAGGTCCTTTGAGGCACAAAAGTTTTCAAGTACTGATGGGAGTTTAATTTACTTATTTTTTAAAATCACCTGTAGGTTTGGTGTCATTTTTGAGACATTACTAATGAATCCAAGGTTATGAAGATTTCTTCTATATTTTCTTGTAAAAGTTTAGCTCTTAAATTTAGGTCTTTGATCCATTTTAAGTTTTATATATGGCAAAAAGGAAGATTCCATCTCATTTTCTGCATGTGGCTATTCAGTTGTCCCAGAACAGTTTGATTACTAGAGCTTTGTGTACTAAGTTTTGAATTCAGAACATAGGAGTCTTCCAATTTTGTTCTTTTTTTTTTTTCCTACATCTTTTTTGGCTACCCTGGGTCCCTTGAAATTCCCTATGTATTTAAGGAAGGGTTTCTCTATTTCTGTAACAGCCTTGGTATTTTGATAGAGATTGCATTGACTCTGCATATTGCTTTGGGTAATATTGTCATCTTAACAATGTTAAGTCTCTAATCCATGAATATGGGATATCCTTTTATCCTTTTGTTTAGGATAAAACATTATCCTAATGTTTTGATTTTAATAGCTACTAGGGCCTGTATTTTGGATACTTTTTGCCATTTGAAAAGTGATGTGTAAGGCTTCCATGGCTTAGGAATAATGAACTTTGCTGGTTGATGGCATACTGATGGCATCTGTCTTCAGGTATAACAGTGAGCATGGTTTAGAAGTGAATAGTTATGAAGGCTTATGAGGGTTTGGCCTATGTCTCTTGATAAACAAATCAATTGGTTAGTTTACTTCTCTCCTTATCATAGCCAATATGACCCTGTACAACCTGAAAACAAGTTGATAGTGAGAAAGGAAGGGACCCTAGCTGTTGTATCTCATGTAAGAGTCTTGCTTGGCTCTCTGCTTCCAACCAAGGTATAGCTGCTCATGAGTGGCTGGACTCCTTATGGTAGATGGAGGCTTCCTTTAGATCTCCTGTGGTAGAAGGAAGACCTTTGATATGTCTATGCAGGATATGTCTGATATCCTTGAACACATGACATCATGGGAATCACAGTGTTGGGGGATCAGGCACCAGCTTCCTGTTGATCTTCTGTTTTCTTTGTTTACATTCCTCAGGTCTCTAACTATGCCTCCCCAGGACTTGCCTCCTTCTAGGATGGCTCTTCTGAGAATGCTGCTTGGGCTGTTGATTGCTTCCTGCTTCACCTTCTGCCTCAGTCATCAGAACCCGGTAAATATCTTAACACAAGTAGAAGAATCCCTGTAGGATTCAAGAAAACCTCCATGCCACCAAGGCTTCTGTGGGAGTAGGGTGACCTTTTATTTTTCTTACAGGAAAAAAAAATTGGGTTGGCCCTGGGTCAAGGAATACGTGTACTCTCCTTCCCATACCCTGAGTCCTCGGGCCTCTGTTTGAAGCTCATAACATAGTGGGACCTGGGTGTCTCAGTCGATTAAGTGTCTGACTCCTGGTTTTGGCTCAGGTCATGATTTCAGCATCATTAGTTCGAGCCCTGTGTTGGGCTCTGTGCTGACAGTGTGGAGCCTGCTTGGGATTCTCTCTGTTCCCCTTTCTCTGTGCCTCTCCCCCGCTCGAATGCACATGCACACTCTGTCTCTAAATAAATAAATAAATAAATAAAGCTTATGGCATAGTTTCTCTTTGGAGAAAATATGATGATGATATGGTAATACCGATAATGATGATGATGTTATCATGTACCAAGTTTTAGTAAGTGCTTGCTGTGTATCCTCATTTAATCTCTCCAAAAACTCTACGAAGTGAACAACTATAGTTATTATCCTTATTTTGAGAAGGAGACTGAGGCTCAAAGATATTAAGTAACTTGGCCAGAATCATTCAGCCATTCAGTGGCAGAGTTGGGAAGATCAGGATTCTCCCCAGGAGCTGGTTGCCTGTGTGATAATCACTGAGTAAGACTCAGCTTTTTCCTGTACTCCAGTCTTCCTTGTGCTTTCTCCATCTGTCTGTCTCTCCATTTTCTTTTCCTCTGTCCTTTTGCTTCCTCTTCTTTTTAGGCCTCTCTTCATTAACCCAGACCTCATTGCTGAGGCTTTCTGTCACTGTCACAGGCAGGAGGAGTAGCATGACCAAGAAGGCCCTGAGTTTGTCCTGGCTGCAGCATGCGAAGGCTCCTGGCTCTGTTTCCCTGGCTGGCCCCAACAATAGACTGTGCTTGACCAGCTCCCAATGCCTCTTCTTTGCTCTCCCCTGAGAGGCCTTGTCTGTCAGCTTTCTGACAGTTTTGCCCTCCTCTGGCCACCTACCCCAACCCCAGGGGCTCCTACTAAATGTTGGGTAAAGTGGTGTAGGCTTTGGAGCAGGAGAGCCTTGAGGTACAAATGACATTTGTGATGAATTTAATAACAATCCAGCTCAACTGAGTTTTACCTCTGGCTTGTGACAAGCTTCCACCTTCTCTGTAAGGTCCTTTGATTTCTCTTTACCTTTCTGCCCACTTTGTGGAGCAGGAGAGAAAGTACAATTAGGAGTCAAGAATCTTTTTGAGCTTTTAATGTTCTGTAAGATCTTGCTGGTGCTGGTTTTGTTTTGTTTTGTTTTGTTTTTTTACCTTTTCTTCAAGGATAATGAGGATGAGATTCCATTGGCCCCTGAAGGTGGGACTGGCCACAGCATGAGTTAGGGGCTGTCTTTGTCATAGCCTAGGCCAGAAAAGCACTCAAGTCTCTAGAGGGATCAGGGCTGTGTACACCCATGCCCCCTCCCCCGCCGACCTGCAGCTCATGAGGATCCAGTGCTTCCCATCATGAGCTTTAGCAGATGCACAAAAACGTGCTGATGAATTTACTTAAGGACTGTGTGTTAGTAAGTCCCTTTTGGATAATAGTCCAACCAAATAGATGAGCTTTCAGAGCCATAATTATTCTGGCCCATTTATATTAGCTCTATTGAGTCTAGTCTCAGAAAAATGTTAATACTGACTTTCATCAACAGAAGCTACTTTTATCCTTATGTCTGTTCCTAAGCTGTATCCATTTGTCATAATCTTTCATCATGTGCTAAGCACAAGTAGGAGTTGAAGCATCTTTTCTCTCATAGCATAAAAATTGCTGCCCTGTTGGCATTTTAAAATCCAAAATGCAGCCAGCCACCTTCACAAAAGTGAAAATGGGTGGTGGGGAAGGTGGGAGTGTTTATGATCCTTTATTCAGAGCCTTGAGTCCAGGCAAGAGGTCCTGGGGGCCTGGAATTGTCTCTCCAAGGGCATTTGTGGAGTTTAATGGCCACCCAGGAAAGATTGTCTGTATCAGGGTATGATCTTCTGCTGTGATACCTCCCTGGAATGCCACAACTTAGGAGCAGTGTAGATGCTGAAGGGATGTGGTTATGTAGTATACTGGCCTTCACAATGGTAGTGAGTGATGAGGGAGATAGTGGAATCCAGTGGAAGGAGCACAGACCCTTGGTAAGTACCCTTTGGCCACCTACTTTGGCAGTTTGGCCATATCTGAGCTTTGTTTCCTCATCCATGAAATAGGGTTAATACTTCCTTCTAAAGATTTTAATATAGATTAAGTGTGATTATATATATATATATATATATGTGTATATATATATGTGTATCTATATGTGTATCTATATATGTGTATATATATGTGTATATATATGTGTGTATATATATGTGTATATATATGTATATATATGTGTATATATATATGTGTATATATATGTGTATATATATATATATATATATATATAAAGCATCTAGCTTTGGAACTGGCAGAGTATGGCCAATAAATGTCAGCTGTTATTTCTAGTAAAGGGTGGCTACTTCTATGGTTTAATGTAGGCCTCTGTCAGGGAGGGTCCTGCCCCAAAATGTTGCCCTGGCAGTCTGTCTCTGTTACAAAGTCTGTCAGCTTAACGTTAGAGATTCATTCATTCTCCTGGATCTTGAAGGCTTTGGTCTTTAAGAATCTCCTACTCAGATACAAGTGCAAGGAAGTGAGACATGGTAAGCTGTTGTCAGCTAACACCTTAGCTGGAATTTCTTGCCAGTCAGTTGAGAGGAGATTGGTATTTGGAATGATGGTGGCAGGGAAAAGAGTGCTGAGGTTTTAGCATGGAAGGGAGTCTTGAGAAGCCAGCTGAGGGGGTACCAGAACGTGGGGTTTACTTGTTGACCAAGGGCTACCTGGCTTCTCTCACCTCTTGGTCTTTATCTCCTGTTGAGGACACTACCCACACAGAGAGTCGCTAGTCTTGCTTGTACTTTTTCTGGGACTGTGGTTTGTTACTTGGTCCACAAAAGCCTTCCATTTCCCTGGTGGGGGTGGGAGATGGGTATGTGTGTTGGTAGATGTGCTGATCTCAGTGCACCTTTCCGCCCCTGCGCCTTCATTCCCTCAGTATGCAGGGCATAGCCATTAGGACACATAACTAAGAACAGAAGTACAGAAGTGAGTCAAGATTCATGCATGGGCTTTGGAGACAGGCTGGCCTGGGCTTAAATCTTTGCTCTTCTTTTCTCAGCAGTGTGATTTTTGCTCAGGCCTGATACCTGTCCTCATCTGTGAAATGGGAATAAAAGTATGTACTCCACAGATGAAACTTAGATGAGTTGTAAGGCATCAAATGCACTTTAGCCCAGAGCTACAAATGGTAGTTGCTGTTACTATTACAGCCTCATCCCTTTGATGCTGCTTTTCCTCAAAACCTTTTCTGGAATGCCCCTTTTGAACTGACTGACTCCCTCAGTGCTTGTCAGATGTGATTTGGGCAAACAGTACGAAGTTGCTTAGAGTTATATTTGGTGAATAGGCTAGCTGATCATAGGACCACCAATTTTGTATCACCTCTACTAAAAATGGATTTGTATTATAAAATAATGGCAGATTGTGTGTATCTTTGTATATGTACATTGCTTAAAATCTGATTCAAAGGTGATACCAAGCGGAAGCTCAAAAAATATTTTGAGCAGTGGTGGGATTACCAAGAAAGTATTTAGCCTCCCTAGAGCCTCAGATATGTGGCTCAGTGGTTCATCAGTTTCCTTCTTGAATCTACTCTATTAACCCTGAAAGAAGTGTGGAAAAAGAGAATGAGCACCTGCCCAGCCTAAACTGTGAAGGGTTTTCTGCTATGTTTGCATCATCCCCATTCCTCTTGCTTGGTGACAAGGATTTGGTTACTTGCTTACAGCTACACCTGCCAGCAGTTACCTGGCTAATAGATAAACTAAAGCAAGAGCTGCAGTTTAAAGCTTAGAGATGTTTAGTTTGGCCTTCTCTTAGTGTTCTAAAATAAGAAAATTTTGTGTAAAAATCATCTGCTTTTCTGTTTTCTATTTTTCATGGCAGTGGTGGACCAGCTGAATAGCAGCTGCATTCCTTGGTCAAGGCAGGAGAGCTCCCGTTTTCACAGCTTCCCAACTCCCTGTTGTTTTACACATGGCCCTACTTGGCCCCTGGAGGCATTTGACCCCCATATGTCCGAGGTAAATTCTATAAATATTCTCCTAGTCCCATGGTCTAGTGTGTGGTGTTCATGGCAGAGGCTAGCCAGCATGGCTTTTCCCTGGATTATATAGATTTTGGGTACTTTGTGGTCAAGGTAATCTTTGTTCTGGAATGTGGGGCTAGTGCCTGGGTTCTAGTGGACATGGCTACTTTGGGCTTGCCTCCATCCAAGGCATCGAGAAGATATGCCTGCAGTGGGACAGGTCATTCCTTCATTCCTTTGTTCTTGGATTACAAACTTAGTCCTTTGCTGGGCATGGGGGTACATTGGTGAAAGAGACTTACATAGAGCCTGTTCTTAGGAAATCTGTCTCTTGGCCAGTGTCTCCTGACAGTCTTTTTTCCCTTTAGTTTCACAAGCATATCTACTCTTTTTCTCCTAGTTTTCTTTTGAGCTCAGATCTGTGCAAACTTCACATTGAAGGGGTAGGAAGCGTTTGATGGGTCAGGCGCACAGGTGAGGCCACAACCGAAACCTGAACTGCCTGAATAATGTCATAGTGTTTAATCACTATTGGATGTCATAGTACAGACTCATCCAACCTGCAGCCTATGGTGGTCTTTACAAGTAATAAGTAATAACTACCATGTACCTGGACAGGGCTAGTGGTTTATGAGGTGGTGCCCCATCTAATGTATGAGCTAGATGTCATTAGTATTTCCACTTTACAAATGTGGAAATAGGCTTAGAAATTTCAGTAACTTTCTGGGAGTCACAATAAACTGGAAATCAAACTTCATGTTATGTGATGTGGAGCTTGAGTTTTTAACTACTATTGCTGTAGTCTTTGCCTCTCATTACTTGGGATATGATTTGAGGGCTTCGTCTTGTCCAAGATCTTATCCTTACTGGTCCTTAACAAGATTTGAAATCCTGCCATCTGAATTTCATGCCTTTATATCTTATTAAAATGTAAAAATCCTTGGAGGGGCTTTACATTGTTAGCACTAATACTTTAACACCTTGCCCTTTTCTCTGACAGCTAATTAAATATCAGACCCTGAGGGACAAGTTAGGTGGGGATACCTGTCTGGAGCTGGGGTGCTGCTTGGAAGAGATGCATTACTACCTCTCATGCAAGGTTAGGGTTGTTGGGAAGCCAGAATGAGATGTGCATCAAGTTCCTAGAACAGGTTTGAGTTCATAGGAATTCACTAAATGTGCTCACTGTTACTAGGGGAAGACTTGGGAGGTTGGAAGGTTGAAATAACCTTCTTGTATGCTAGTGTGGGTTTTTCCTTGCTACCTGAGCTCTAGAACCCTCTGGTTCCAGTTTCCAGAGGACTACTGCTTTTATGCAAGAAAGGTTTAAAAATGGGACAGGAAGAATGGGAGGCTGGGAAGGAGCAAAATGAATAATAGTTTGTATTTATCTTGCATCTCTGTCTCCTGAGCTCACGGTGCTCCACAGATACCATCTCATTAATCCTCCATGATCTCCATGGGGTGGAAGGAAACAGGTTTTCAGCTGTGGCTTCTTCCTCCCTCCCAGCTTCACTCCCAGCTTCCCACTTGCATCCCTTTCACCATGGATTCTAATGTCCCAAGAGGTCATTTATGACCCATAGGCACCCTGGGGAATTGCCGGGCCATTATTGTGTCCTACTGGGCTGCATAGGAATAAGTTGGGCCTCAGCTGGCCACTTTTGGATGTCTGGAGTGGCCATTTGAGGATTTATTCTCCCATCATACGTGTGTGTGTGTGTGCGTGCGCGTGTATACATATATATACACACATATATATACACACATATATAAGTGTGTGTGCATTTTAATGTTTATTTGTTTTGAGAGAGAGAGAGAGAAAGAAAGAGACAGCACATGTCTGCATGAGGGAGAGGCAGAGAGAGAAAGCATGAGTAGGGGAGGATCAGAGAGAGAGAGAGAGGGAGAGAGCACATCCTAGGCAGGCTCTGCACTGTCAGCATAGAGCTCAACATGGGGCTCGATCTCATGAACCACAAGAGCATGACCTGAGCCGAAATCAAGAGTTGGATGCTCAACTGACTGAGCCGCCCAGGCACCCCAACAGATCTTTTTTATTTGTAAGAGCAATAGTTAGGAGTTTTAAACATTATACAGTGTAGTAGCAGAAGAAATAAAAAGTAGAAGTCTCTTATTGTCTCCTTTGCCAACCCTTTTCCCCAGTGTGTTCCCTTAATTCCCTTGAGATAGTATTGAACTTCATGGAGTTTTTCCTTATATATGAACAAAAGTGCTGTGTACCCATAACACATGCTGTGTTCATTTAACTATATCACCTCACTCATATTATTTCTGAGACTAACCTGTGAGTGGTCCAAACAAAGCTGGAGAGGGGAGGAGTATGGAGGAGAAGAGTGTACCACCCTGGCCATATTCTTTCTGTTCGTCTCATGTCTACCTCTGGTGGGTCATGCCCTGTGTTTTCTTTTCTCTGAAGGAATTTGCACTCACGAGCCCAGAAAAGAGCAGCACCAAAGAAGCAGAGGGAAAGGAAACCACAGCAGAAGAGGAGCTGGACTCCGAGGTCCTGGAGGTGTTTCACCCAACCCATGAGTGGCAGGCCCTTCGGCCAGGTACCAAGCCCAGCCCTCTCCATGTGAAACACACTCTGAATTCTAAGTGCATATGTCCTTTGTGTCCACAGGGCTGCTTTGAAGGAGCAGCTACTCTGGCCGACTGGAGGGGGACAGTGTGGTCCTTTGGGGTGATGGTTGTTGCTGCAGGGCTCAGGGACTTTCATTTTCTAGCAGAACAGAGATTGCGGCATGTGAGTGCCCTGAAAGGAAGGAAGGTGGTGGGTGGCCGAGCTTTCTGAGCAAGTGATTGAAAACTTTCTTTACTTGCACTCTTCTGAAATACAGGAGAGGCAGTGACATGTGCCTCACTCTGCAAATGCTATTTTAGGCTCTGCTGCTCGGCTCAATGCTGCTGAAATATTGTTCATGGGAGAGCACTGAGCACCGATGCAGGGCAGGAGTGTTCTGTTGCTAAAGGAACTTGTGCCAAGAAACAGGGGCTGGGCCTGGCCTGGTTTTTAAATGGGGCATTCTCAGAAGGAATAACTTCCTCATCCTTTTAAGAACATGGACCCATTGCTTAGAAAGTAACCAGCATTTGTGGAGTGTTTACCATATTCGGTTATTGAGTTAGGTGCTTCATGTGCATAATCCTGTTCAGTCTTAACAAGAACTGTGATTACCTTCATTTTCTTATGAAAACATTGGAAAACATTGGCTCATTGACCTAAGTCATTGAGCTAACTTGTCCTATGCCATTGACCACAGAGCCTAGACCCACCTTCCTACCCCTTGTCTTTCTAGTCCCAGCTGTATTCAGTGGTAACTCCCTATGGCGACACTTGGGTCTGTTTGGAAGAGTAGGCTTTTTGCACTTTTCGCTGTGGCAAGGTGGATGGCAAGCCCTGGTAGCTGCCACGGTGGAGTTTAATCAGTCCCTTGCCAGTATTTGTCACCATGTCCTCACTGCCCCCATTGCTGCTGTGCTGGCCGGGGCAGCGTTTACTGCGCCAGCCAACTTTCTGGTAGCACTATCACTCCTACTGGGCTTGTCTACGGGTAGTTGGTGCTACTGAAGAGTGACGAAACACCACGGAGGTGAAGTAGGAGCTAATGGCATGGGGATGGTGGGAGGTTTTAGGAAGGTTTAGGGAGGTACTGGGTTGAGCAGATCTAACCTCTGGCTGTCCTCCACCACCTTCTTTGTGAACTGAGCATGCTGGGCCTTGAGGACCAAAATAAGAGGACTCACTGGGATCGGGTGTGGAATATGTGGACTGTTTATCCTGGCTTTATGAGGTTAAAAGTGCTTGAATCACTTTTAACCAGGCAAGTGCCTAGAGCATGTGGAATTCAGTGTCCTGTGGCCCTCAGTCCTAGCTTTTCTTTTCTCGTGGCACCCTCTAAGGCCCTGGTCCACACTGTCAAACAAGCCTAAAAGTTCTGACCTGGGGACCTTGCTCAGCTATCTGGCACTGGGGCTGCTGTATTAATGCCTAAACAGAAGAGCCCCGTTCTCTAGCCTGGGGGGAAGGGAAGGGGCGCGGAGCCAGAGCATTTGTGACCAGGGCAAGCGGAGGGCTATGAGTGCCTCCTGCAGAATTAGAATGGAATACTTATTTTTACATTTAACTCGATACCATCCTGTGCCTTTTAGTTCCTCGATAGCCTCTCGTAAAATCTGCACCAAATTCCCATGAGCATGCCCCAAACATTGGTGTGTTGTGACTGAGCACAGACACCCAGGCCCCCTCAGCTCAGGGGGCAAAGCAGGTCTGGTTCTAGTCATGCCTGCCTCATCCCAGGAGTATTTTTGCGTATCATGACTGTCAAAGCAAGATGGGCAAGGGGAAGTTAGGTGAGAAGCTTGTTCTGGCATGAGTGTGTGATACAAGGTGATTCAGAGTGTGGCGCTATGGAGTCAGACCAGCGGAGGTAGAGAAGACTTTGGTGGGCCCCAGTCTAGGATTGAGGTGTTCTGCTTGTACATTGCAAAGGTTTTGTGTGTGTGTGTGTGTCTGTTGGCAGGATATTGACCTCTCAGTGGTCTGTGTGGATAGCTGGCACTTGGGTTTAGTCAGAATGTAATATTTAATTCACCACATTCTGAATGCTGCCTGGGATTCTGAAGATACCTGAAGGAATATTAAAAGGAATGTAGCCAGTTCTGAGAACTTGTTTGATGGGTAGATGAATGGGAAGGTAGTAAATTTTAGCAGTTAGGAGAACAGACTTTAGACTCAGCTAGCCCTGAGTTCAAATCCTAACGTTGCTACTTAGGGGATCTTGGGCAAATCGCAGAATCCTTCTCACCTTCAGTTTCCCCATTGGTGACATGGGGGAAATGTCTTGCCTTTCCTGTTGTGAGGATTCTTGACATGAAGATATCACCCAGTATACTCAGTTCTGATTTTAGATGGTAAATTTGTGCTACCCCTTTTGATTGTGGAATTGGGTGCCAGTAAAAGTGCTTAAGTGTGTAGGCTTCCTGTCCTCTCTGGCCTTCGATGGGGAAGAGAATTTAAGGTGAGAAGAGAGACTTCTGTGATCCTGAAATGCTCTCCCTCTCTCCTTCTACAGAGATTTTTGATGAGGGAGCAGAAAGGGTTAGTATAGCTTTTCCTGCCTGAAATTCAAGTCTTGGCACAGGGAGATGGTGGAGTATCTTTTGGAGACTTTAAAAAACATAGCTAGTTTCTGTTGACATTATCCCCAGTTCAGTAACTTCTGTCCCCTCAGGTCGCTGAAGGGAGGACCTCAGGCCTCTATGGAGGGCATACTGGGATATGTGTTCTGGGCTGATATGAAGGTAGATTTCTAGGCTGCCTGCGGTGGCCTGGAACACCAGGAGTCCTATCCATGACTTCATGGGCCTTCCCACCAGGTCAGGTGGGTAGTGGACCTCCAGCCATGCAGCCCTGGAACAGCTGCAGGTCACCCTCCTGAAGTCTGCCTGCCTCTATTATTACTGTCAGCATCCTCACTGTGAGCCGCTTGTTCCTGGAAGTGATTTTCCTGTCTCTCTCTGTCTTCTGGTTTATTTTGGGATCTATCTCACCTTACGGAGGCACAGCAAGCATTTGAGTGTGGATTCAGCATCAGCTGTTCACAGGCAAGCAGAGGAAAGCTGTTTCCTGGCAGGCCCTATAGGTTCTGTGCAAGCAGTTCAGAAATTTGTCCTGGGGCTGAGGACCCCTGAGTAGCCCTATGTACTTACTATCACAGAAAGCTGGCCACAGCCAAGTGGGTGGAGTCTGCTCCCTGGGCATTTCTGAGCTCTTACTTTGTGCCAGACGCTATACTGGTAGCCAGAGATACACATAATAATTCACGTTTACTGAGTGTTGATTGTGCCAGGCATTCTTTGAGGGCAGATGCTGTAACTACCCTCATTTTTATAGACAGAACTGAGTCTCAGAAGTGACTTAGTCAAGGCGTGCCTGGGTGGCTTAGTTGATTAGGCATCTCAGTTTGGCTCAGGTCATGGTCTTACAGTTTATGGGTTCAAGCCTTGTGTTGGGGCCGAATTCAAAACGAGCTTTGTCTGACCCTAAGCCTGAGCTCCTCCTCACTGTGCCATACTGTCTATCTGAATAGCTAATGAAACATTATACTGCCTCCTGGTAACTTACAGGCTCACAGAGAATACAGAGACAGAAAAGGGCACTAGAGTGTTTGGGATGCCCTGTGGAAGTGTCCTTTGTAGGCTGAGGGCACAAAGGAGGGTAAGGGGAGACTAGGGCCTTCTCTGTATCCCTGAGATCTCAGTGAAACAGTGGTCAGATTTTATGATGTTGAACCTCCAACCCTGTGAATTTCTCTTTTTTGAGCTTTGTGTTCTTGGTCAGGTTGGTTAGAATCTTTGAACCTTAGTTTCCTCATCTGAAAATATCTGCCTCCTAGAGATGGTGTGCAACTAAAACAAGATCAACATGTGTAACATGTTACACACAGGACCTGGCTCATAGGAAATACTCAGTAAGTAACTATACTTGTCTTTTTTTTTTTTTTTTTTTTTTACGTTTGTTGCCTTATGTTCCTTGGGGACCTGAAGGAGAAGTGGAGGTGACAAGGCAGGCTGAGCAAAGGGTTCCCTTGTTCTCCCCATGAGTCAATTCTACTTTGTTGGCCTCATGTGGGCTCAGGGAAGCTCAAACCTGGGACTCAGTATTGACCTGAGCTGACTTCTGAGACGAGGCTGTTAGAATCTCAGAAATATTGGCATCAGCACAAAGAGCCCACTTAATGGGAGCACGCAGGAAGCCTGTGCAGGAACACATTCATTTGAGGGGGTTAAAAAAAAAAAAAAGGAAAAGAAAAAAATCCAAATCATCAACAACTGATGAGAGCAATCCAAGAATTATAGAGTACCAGCCATCTGGTCAGATCATTTCAGATCTGCACAAGCAATAGGAGGGAATTGAATTTTAAAAACCTCATTTATAGTAGACCAACTACTTGGTTTCAAGTATTTAAGAGAGGAGCCTGATTTCCTGCAGTCCCTGGACATCTGTCTGAAGGAGCACCTGACTCTGGTCTGGGTGACTGTGTGGGGTTGTTTCTGTGAGGCCTTTGTCCCATTGCATCTTGGAAAGGGCTGTGTGATTCTTTGGTCCTCAGACACCAGCTCCATGTCCCAATATTTCAAGTCCATTCTGACACCATCTACCTGGAATTAATGTCAGATCTCATAAGTTAAAGGTCTCATTGCCATTGCATCTGCTTCTGATGCTAGTTGCAAGTTCCAGGCCATCTGTATTTGTGACCGAGCAGCTATAAATTGGAAATTCCCCCAACCCCCTACTCAGGTTTGATAATTTGCTAGAACAACTCATTGCTCAGGAACTTGGGAAAACACTTAGGTTTACTGGCTTATTGGAAAAGATACAACTCAGGAACAGCCATATGGAAGAGATGCATAGGGCAAGGTCTGATTTTGGGGGGAATGGCACAGAGCCTCTGTGCTATCTCTGAGCACAGTACCCTCTCAGAACTTCTGCCTGTTCACCAGACTGTAAGCTCTCTATATCCCGTTGTTCAGAGGCTTTTATGGGGGC